AGTTATGTTCAAACTTGTCAAAATGAACATAATTTGTGGGTGGGATTATATGGCGAACTTATCGCCATTACGAATAACCGCTTATAACTACATTTGTCTAAAAAAATAACTCTTCTTTTAACATTGAAAAAAGAGCATTTTCGCTGAAAGTGCAACTTGCCCATGATACCCCGAGGTTCTGGGCCACGAGGATGTATGAGGGCTCAAAAAGTTGAAACAAAAAAATTTGGAAAAGTCAAACAATTTTGGGAAATGCAAAAATAAACCGAATTTCCGTGTAAAAAAAACAAAAAAAATTAACGGGGCCAAATTTCTGAAATATGAAAAAAACAGCTCAATATTGAATTAAAGAATATTTTAGGTCATCACACTTTTTTAGATATTGGTGACGGTTAAGTCTGTAGAGGTACCCTTAGCCGCGAGTTTTGCGCGGCCGCGATGAGCGATATCTAAATAGTGTGCGGCCACCACGACGTATAAAAGCTCAAAAGACGCGGAATTCGAAGGGCTTTAAGATGATGTATAAATATTTTGGAAAAGTTGATTTTGCAATTTTTTTTTACGGTTGGTTTTGAAAGTTTTTTTTTATTTCGACGTCTTATCTCCTCTTCGTTTCGCTGTACTAATCAACTCTGTTCCAAACAATATTTCTTCATCCTACTACCTATATGAAGCTGTGCTCCAAATTTTTTAGCCAAGCACCTCTTGGCCAACTTGAGGACGCGGTGCGAGCCACCGATAGCGATCTTCATGTAATTACAGAGTGGAGTAAATCTTTTGGTTTGGACTTGTATCTCTCTACTACACTTTCTACAACTAGCATAATAGTAGATAGTTCTAGAATGATAGACAGAGGCGATTGGCAGTCACTACCCAACATCTAATTGGCTGGTAATAATATTTTCATTTAGCACATCAGTTAAAAACTTGGGATTGACGTTCGATAATTATTTGAGTTGAGGCCCACAAATGCAAGTTGTCAGTCGCAAACTTTTAGCTTCGGCAGCGTCACTTAGGAGACTACGTCCCTAAACGGGGATCACGCGGCTTCGCACTTAGCAGCTTAGAGGGTATTCGCAGGGTTTTTAGCGGATATTATGCCGTTAAGCGCCCGTAAGAGTTACGGGGTCCTCAGTGGGCAGCCACTGCGGGGGCCCGTAAAGCTTGCAGGAGCCAGGTGTGAGGTTCGTTCGGCGGTGTGCCTCTTAAAGGCGCCGTCGTCTGTAATTAGAGGTTTTGCCTGCGTCACAATAAAAGCAGACTACCTAATTTCCTGCCTATCACCACCAAATTTACCTTAGCACAGTCATTATTAGACCAAAACTAAATAGATGATGAGATGGCCGTCTAAAGCTAAAGGGACCTATTCTCATTTTCGACGAACAAAGTTTCTAAGTCTGATACACGTTAAAATTGTATACGGGCACAGTAAGAGCACGTTCTCATTATATCGTGACGGTTATTTAACCGTTAGATGATTGTCGTCTCTAGCTTTGCCAAAGTGGTTCACAATTTTTCTAGAATTGAGGACAGATTGACTAGTCAATGTGACGCCTATAGCCAGTCGTAAAACGATATAAAAACGTGACGACTTATCGTGTCCCTAAAACGCATATGTCGTTGTAGCGATTATCTATCGTAGACGCGATACATATATTAGAAAAAGAATGTAGAGGCGACTGATGTGCAAACGACAGGGTGACTGCCATGATCCGTAAAAATATCGTCACGATCCAACGCGAACAGCTAACCATGACAGCATAGGTACAACGATAAATCGTGTCGTCCTATATGTGAACACCTCCATTGAAATATACAAGCGAAGATACTATAAATGACACGATGATCGTCACGACATAATGGAAACGCGCCCTAAATACCTCGACACACAACAGTGTATTGAAAAATTAACAAGAAGGTCTCTATCACTCCTCGGGGACTATGTTCGGATGCGGTACTAACACATAGCAGCTAATAATGAATCAGTGTCCTATACAAATCGCACAGAATCAAGGACAGAATAGACCAGTGTGATTTTTATAGTGTTGAGTATACACTAGAGCTAATTTTAACAGAACAACGAGCCACTCTATAATGTATGTTCTAGTGTATCACCCTTTATTAGCATCACCAACTTAGATTTTACTTGTTTTATGAAAAATTAAAATGTTTTTTTTTATATTGTACCAGTCGTTAGAAATTTTCAGTACATAGAAAGTACTTGTGTTCTCTGTCCGTTATAATAATTTCATAGAGCATTATTAATATATGTGTACATTTATTTAATACTGGCGGTATTAAATTTATTAATTAGATTTAATTTAAACATCTAGCAGTGAAAAGGTTAATATATATAAATATATATATATATATATACTATACTAGCTGTGCCCCGCGTTGTTACCCGCGGTTTATTAGGGATACTTTCCCGCAGTAAAACGTAGCCTATGTGTTAATCCAGGCTGTCAGCTAACTCCATACCAAATTTTATTAAAATCGCTCCAGCCGTTTTAAGACATGAAGAAGTAACAAACATACATACTCACACACCCACAAACTTTCGTCTTTATAATAATAGATAGTGTGATAAAAGATTTTATTATTACTTTTTATGTAGCCACAGAAGTCCCGAGATTTTGTTCTTAATACACTTTTTTGTATATTTTCATGAATTCGCAAATTCAGAGCGAGTTCCATTCAGATTTTGTTCAAACACGAAACGTTTCGATTGTAAGCATTTTAACAAAGCTCTGCTTGGTAAGGCACTTCTAAAATTAAATTAGTAAAGCACCGGTTTTATGAACTAAAACGACATTCTTAGCTTTTCTTTTTTCAATTTGTAAATTTAGACAATTAAAACTGCGTAAATTCCCATGAAGCTGAAAGTCAGTACAATTGTTAAAAACATAATTTAAAATAACATGTAACAAAATTCCTCATCGTTCCGGTACATGGAAAAAAATACTCGAGGTCAAAGGTCAATAAATGGGCTTTTCGCTAAAAACGGTAAGTTTTATCGTATCGTAGACAAAAAATGTAGTTCATAAAATTATCATAAAAAGGTTTGTCATAATATGCATAAGTACGTCACGTATATACATCTCTGTGGCTGCAATATAAGTTAAATTAATTATTAATATTAATTAGTTCAAATATTATTAGAAAATGTATGACCCCCTCTTATTCCGAACGTAGGTTTTCCTGTAATCTACAAACAAGCAAAGTGCTAGATTACATTTTCGTATAAGACTTTTACCAACTACACACGACTGCAATAAACAGGTCACCCGCTAATACGTAGGAATTCTGATTCAATTTTCTCAAAAAGTATAAAACTTATAACTATAAAAGTTATATATTCGATTTTCTCAAAAAGTATTAATCTTTAAACCATTAAAGTTATATATACAGAAAGTGTATTTCATAATGATTAAAATTAGTATAATTTTATTCTAAAGTACTGTCAACTTACTGTGCATATTTTAACATTGTTAACGATTTGCGAATTTTCGAATAAAGTTCCGTTTTTTTTTTTGTAAAATGAAGATAGTCTGATACTTCTTATCATTTCTCTAGATTTTTTCTATAATTTTCTAAGACGTGTGTTCTCTTGCTACATTTTCACTACCGATTGACACAGTTGGAAAACCACTCATCATTGGAAAACTTTTAATAAAAACTAAAAAAAAAACATAATCTAAATAAATTCCTGTCCATTTTAATTATCATGAAACGCACTTTGAAGGTATAACTTTGATATTTGTAAGATTTATACTTTTTGAGAAAATCAAGAAAATCAATCAAACTTTCCATATATTTTTTTGTAAGCAGCTTATAACGAAAAGGTATTCTAGATTGCCTCTTTCCATTTATATAAGTTTGAAAGTACTTTATTGTACATAGCTGTCGACTTAGTATTTGTTAGTTAGGTCACGTAGTCGAGATGTCTGGTTAGAAAGTCAGTTTAAGTAGAACATCGCCTTGGGATTTCAGTTATCAGCTCTTTACAGCACTAAGACATTTTGTTCTGTAAATATGTACTTACACTGTAAAGAGTTCTGTTTAGAGACTATGTTTATTCGAGTATTTATTGTATGAGTGTACCTATACTATTAGAGAAAATAAAGAAAAAAATCCACTCGGACACGCCAGGCAGCAGAGGGGATTCGAACCCGAAGAGATGGCGCTGCCTTACAGCCAAAGAAATACTACAGAAAATTCGACATGGACACAATTAGGGCCGCGGTAGCATAATGGTCAGTACATCCGCCCAGATAGCGGAGGGTGCTGGTTCGAGTCCCGTTTGCCGCCTGGTCTGCGTGGAACTTTTTCAAGTAAAATTTTCTTTAGCTTGCTTTATATTTAGATGATTTATGTACATACATACAATACGTGCTCCAGATGCAGGTAGTGTATAAAGTAAATTATTTCTCTCATAAAAACAGCTTTGTCAGGCCTCATCGACTGTTATTTGTGTCAGGGAATAAGCCGTAAGTATTTAATTTATCCAGATAAGTATTGAACAATATTATTTCTAATTAGATGTTTAAAGGCCACTGAAATCAAGGACATACAAATTTTTCAAGAGAAAAATTGTTATATTTTTTTTTGTCTTGCAGCATACGAAAGGCTATAAAGAATTCGACACAAGTAGCATAATGGTCAGTTCATTCGCTCAGATAGCGAAGGGTGCGGGTTCGAATCCCGTCTGCTTCCTAGTCCGCGTGGATTTTTTCTAGTTACTAATATTTTCTTTACAAAAATTGTTGTAAATTTATACTGGCTACATTTATAGTCATCAAAAACATATTAGAGATATGTATTGTCAAAAATTTAAATTAGTACTCTCAAATAAACAGTCGTTCAACAAACACGTATTTCCATTATTTTCTCAATGTAACAATAAAAATGCTTAATGGAGATGTTATGAAGAGAATAAATTATTGAAAAAAAACCGTTGTCACTAAAAATTAAAAATGTATTTTTAATTTAGTGCTTACCGAGTGTAATCTTCTAGCGGCGTCGTGTATTGAAAGTATGTGCGTTATCTTGTACTTGTCTAACTGCACGGGGTCTTTTGAGTCCCTGTAGTTTCCCACATACAACCCTGGGAGCACCTGCGGACAAACATTTACTTTTGTTAGATAGCTAAACTATTTCCTCAACAAGAAGCGATGGAAAGTTGGAGATGGAGAGTAATCTTGTCAAAGGAAGACAACATTTTGAAATTAATCACAACTTACATATATTATTATAGCATACATGGCATGAACGCTTTAAACGACTTCAACTGTTTTGTAGATGTAGACAGACTGAGATCTTGCGTTAATACTAAGTAGACCCGTTGTCTTGATTGATTGAAAATGCAAAGTTAAAACACAAGTCGCGCTAGAGGCCTCATGCACCAAATAGGATGGATCACACATTGCAAGAAAATTCGAAAATCGGTCGAAAAACCCACGCTCTGCTACGATATTAGAGAAAATTGCAAGTACAAAGTTGTTTGATAAACTTCAACACGAGTCTTCCCCTTTTTATCGTTGCTAAAACTGGCCTTATACGATCTGAATTCATAATATGAATTTCTGATCTGAATTCGGGTGCTTTGGCTCCCACAAGTCATATAGATTCCGTTTGATCTGTGGTTTAATACCTCGTTTAGACTATGCTCATGCCGCTGCCCCTCGCGTTACCGGCCATAATTCCCTAAATATTGCTGCGGCATGATTGAGAGAAGTATGTGTTTACATACTGCCCTACCTCTCACTTCGCTTCAGAGTTTCGGCAATGGCAGACGTCGAAGTAATAACAGCGGCCGCGCTGTGTGTTGCAATCCATAATTATGTTCGATATTTAAGTAATTTTAATATGAATAAATTATGACGAGTATGTAAACACGATACTCATCATGCCACTGCCATTGCCACTCGCGCTGCCCGGCGCTCCCCAAAAGAGCGGTTTTTTGTGCGGAAGTCAAAGGACAATAAATAATAAGAAAATAAATAGATAACATCCACCATCTTCTACGACGAACTTTCTTTTTTTGTACTGATGTACTGTACTGATATATTTTTAAATTTCGAACATAATTATGGATTGCAAAAAGACACAGCGCGGCCGCTGTAATTACTTCGACGTCTGCCATTGCCGAAACTCTGAAGCGACGTGAGAGGTAGGGCAGTATGTAAACACGTACTTCTCTCAATCATGCCGCAGCAATATTTAGGGAATTATTGCCGGCAACGCGAGGGGCAGCGGCATGGGCATAGTCTAAATGAGTTATAACAGTTGTCTCACGAACATCTCTATATAATATTAGTGTAAAGTGTCAGTCACACTTTAGAGACATTATTTCAATCACAAATTCATAATCTTATTCCATTTGTGTGTGCTCGTCGTAAAATAAAAGAGGTGCTTTTGTATTTTGTTCATATTATGAATTCATAACACTTATCACTTTTATTTTGTAAGATCAATCTGAGAAATTCATAATCGAAAATAATGAGAATGTCTGAGGATAGTAGTTAAATTGTATGAATATATATTATGAATCCAGATTCTGACTCAGACTATATGTTGTTAGAGAATAAAGTTTTTTTTTTCAGTGATCGAATAAAAAAGGTCAGTTCAATATTTAACAGCAGAATGAAAAAAAAGGAAATTTACACTTGAATTTACATAACTTTAGGTCAATTGCCTCCCACAAAGAATGGATATTGTAATATACATTTATTCCTTTAATCTCTGCCTCTCTAAAAGTCGTAAAGTTGGCGATGCGTTAAATAAGACTTGGAAAGGGTACGCAGTAGGCAGGAAAGTATCGGTAAATCGCTAACTGAATACTGAAGATTCTGTTTCTTACAAAGCTTAACAAGTTACTCCACTTACGGTGGGCTTACTGCCATCCCAATAAAATCTTTCTTTGTCAATTTGTACTACGATCTTCATTTACCATCATCAATCTAGTAAATGTTCTCGCAGCAGCAAGAAGCACAGGCATTCCTTGTTAACGGGTGAGTCAGAATAGTCAGAAACCTACCACGCAGGCTCAATGCGGATTTATGGGTGCTACCGACTGCTGATGTAGCTGGGACCATGGGGTGTACGTACGTCCCTTCCGCGGCAAGGAGAAGCTCGAAATGTCATCCATCTTATGACCAGCTATTACCAAAGTGACTTAATTTCCACGATCGCCAATCCGCTACTAGCTATTTCGCCCTTGAGCTTCTACTTATAATACCCATATTATGATCCACTTAAAAGTCGGATTACGATGTTGATTGCAGATCAGCAATTAGGTGAGTCCATTCGGCTATGGATAGGCCATATGGCTTGTAGTTTGGCGTTACCTGGGAGACAATGTGATCCGCCAATATTCAATCAGTTAGAGAATGAAGCAAGCAGGCGAGACAAGTAAACTCGATGACGAATAGACGTTAATGCGGTTTTATACGACAGGCTTTACGTGAGGGTGCCGGCCGCTTGAGGTTCTTGAGCCTATTCCAAGGTGAAATAATAAAATTACACATTAGAGTAGGGGCTTTTATATAAATAAAGAGTACTGAATTGCTCGAGCTGTGGTGGTGGCGATACAATTTCGATTTAATACTCTTTTATTTTATTTAAAACCATTGGTATATTTTGTAACATACTAATTGCTAAACCTTCCAATAACAAATGCCAAATAGTCATATCGTATGACCAAAAAAACCATATTAAGGTACCTATAGGTTTCAATAATTGTACTCTTGAGTTTACCTACTATAACGACGTCTTGATAAATTATGGTTTGATAAAAGCTGACGACAGGTCACTTGATATTAAGTGTGATTGAAGCCGCTCTGTTTACGAAAATAAGCTATCATAGACACTTTATGGCGTGAATACCTAATTTGAATTTGAAAAAATGAAGAATTAGGTAACAGCTTAGATAACAGGGAAAAAACTTGTTTTTTGGTACAATGCTGGTAGGTAATCACGTTACACACGTAGTTATATATGAGGAACAAGGGTTTTATTGATCCTGTCCGGGATAATTTGTAAAGAAATGCTTTATTTTGTGTCGGATATTCCTTCTTCTGTTAAATTCCACGCACAAATTACAACTTTTTACAATTAATGTACTAGCTAGCTACATTTTCGCGCTGTCATAGTTATAACCAGGACCGTAGCCAGGGCGGGAAGCAATGGGGCAATGCCCTACTTTAAAATACCAATACTCTACCTTAAAAATTACTTTCGACATTTATTTACTAACTCTAGGGATGGAGGGGGATGCAAATCCTACCTTATGCCCCACCTGTAGGTAATTACCGTTGCTCTATCTTAAATACAACTCTAGCTACGGCCCCAGTTATAACATGACTTGCGAAAAATTTCCGAGGACTTCGTCGTTACCATAACAACGAAACATACATAATGATTCAAGTTTCTTTCTGTGAATCTTGATTGGCCACTTGCATGTTAAATACAATTAAAGAGCTGGGAGTTAAGGTGCAGTAACTTAAACGATAGGTTTTTTATAATATTTCAATGAACAGAAGTTTTTCAATCGATACAGTATAATAACATGATTTTCTGATATGTATAGAACTGGGCTATTGGAGTTAGAGAGAGATAAATCATAGAAAGCCAAAGACAAGAAAGCGCTCCTGATGTTACCCTAGTCAATATTGTAAGTAGTTAGGTTCCTTCCTATTTTTAATAGACTCAAACAAAGGATGTTCTCAGTTTGACCTGTATGTATGTATGCACGTTTGTTCCAGATTGTCTTAAGAACTACTGATTCGATTTGGATGGGGTTCTCGATATATTAATGCGTATTTATCAAAGAAGGTTATAGTAGTAGTAGTATATAATATACTAGCAGTGTCATACCGTTTCACCCGCATCCTAAGAGAACACATTAAAAGTCACTTGGATGAAGAATAGCTTGTTTATAACGCGTAAAACCTTGATTTAAAAAAACAGTTAAAAAACAACCATTAAATAACTAAAGAACCCTCCTACACTGCGCGTTGCACGACTCGCACTCGCATTGGCCTTTCAACGTAGACAACTGTTTCTATTCGAACGACTGATAATATACAATTTACCTAATTTTACAGTTTAATGTTCATTTATTGTATCGAATTTAGTGATAGCGCGTGGCCGCTACTAGTAGCCACTCGATTTTCCTCGATTCGATTGGTGGCTGCATCGAGTGGCTTGACTAAGCCATTAGTGGTCGCGTTCAGTGGCCGTGATAAGTGACTCAATGTGCACTTGCTCTTATTGTCTTCTGTGGAGGCGTTATCAACTCATCAGATATACCTAAGTTTCATCAATACTGCCACGCCAGCATCGCCGGTAATAAAGTTGCCAAATCTGCAGCTAATTTAGATAAAACATCCGTATAACTATCCATTCCTATCTCCCAAATAAAATTCAAAAACAACATAATCTCCAACACAACAGCAGAACAGCTTCACTTAAAAACCACCCACACCAAAAATAAACACGACCTTAACCAATCATCGATTCCCAATCACCCAAGAACGCTTCAACTATAATACACACACACTCAAAGACTTTAACATATAACCGGCAACATAAAAAACCTCAACTTAATTAAAACTTAACCTAAAAATATATTTAAACAGCATTGCTGAAGCTTGGTGCAAGTTCAAAAGCCCGGCTTTTCAATGAAGAGATACTAAAATAGCTGTATAATAAAAAAAATATCGAATTTGATGGTGAAATATTGTCATTATCATCAATAAGTAAGCAAATTCATAAATTTTTAACCATGAGATCGATAACAAGTTACATAATGGTAATCCTGTAGCTAAAAGAAACAAGGTTTTTGTGTTATCTTGATAAATGATTGAAAACGCGAAAGCAGGCGAAAAGAAAAAGGATTTTTTTTAAAGTGGCATACTCTGAGGTCTATTGATTAATCTAGATGAGGTCATGAATATTAAAGAACGAGGCCACAAATTAAAATTACCAAGGGGTTTGCTGTAAAGAAAGTTATTTGAACATTTTAACCTCTTGGAATCAGGGCTTTGAACTAGATTTAACACAATAACATGCTTTAGTTCTAGGTGAACTTTTTGAATAGAATAATTTGTCCTCA